CCGACGAAGGCGCCAGAAGCCCCGTTCAGGCCGCCCAAGCGCCCGCCTCCCGCGCTCTCGGGCACCACCAGCGGGGAGGAGCGGCCACCTTGCGCCCAGGGACCTGTGCGGGCACCCCATCCTCGGAGACAACGTCCTCTCCTCGGGCAGGGCCCCCGGCAACCTGGCCGCAGTCACCTCCCAGCCGGTCCCTTCCAGGAAGCCCCGGACGCCTCTCCCCGCGCCCCTCGCGGGCGCTGAGTCTCCCACATCCGAGGGACAGGGGACGAGCCAGAAGGGACGCTCTGATCCCCGAGCGGGCTCGCAGCGCCCCTGCCCGAGCCATCCCCTCTCCGAGCCTCAGTTCTGTCACCTGGAAAACGGGCGAGCGGCTGGACCCCGGAGCGCAGACCCGGCCCGCGGGCCGCCCGGGCGGAGGGCGCCACCTGCAGGCCACGGGGCAGCGCCCGCCCCGCGCAGGACCCGCTCCGCCCCGAAGGGGGCGCGGCCGCTCACACGACTAAGGGACCAAGAAGAAAAAAAAAAAAAAACCATCTTTCGTTTTATTGAAGGAGGAAAAAGGGGCGGGAGGAGGGTGGGCAATAAAATGCTTTTGCTTTGTTTATAAAGAGCGAGATTTCAGGAGGCCCCTTCTCGAGGAGGAGGGAACACCTCTCCCCCAACTACAAGCAGCAGCAAAGCCAAGCCAGGGCGGGGAGAGGGAAACCAGAGGGGCCAAGGGACCCCAAGCACCCCCTGGGACACGAGCCACAAGCTTTCTCCCCCCACCCTCAACGCATCTACCCCAGGGGACCCGACTGGGATGAGGAAGGGGGTATGTACACAGGGGGGGCGGCACTGGGCTGGGTGGGGGAGGGAATAATTTACCCGCAGCAGCGGAGGGTGGCGAGGGGCGGGGGCCAGTAGCCTGGCGGCAGTGGCGGCCTAGGGGTCCCGTTCTTTCTTAACCTTGATGTCTCCAGCAAGGATGGTGGCGATCTCGCCCTGCATGAAGGCCCAGGGGACGGAGGAGCCCACCAGCGGGCACTTGTCTCCGCTGGGGCAGTACACCTCCCCGGCGGGGCCCTGCGCCTTGATGAACTCGCGCGAGCAGGGAAAACAGAACTTGTGTCCGGGCACGGAGGGGCACTGGACGAAGTGGGTGTCTTCCAGGCGCTCCCGGCACAGGGTGCAGCACAGGGGGGCCCCCGGGGCGGCCCCCGTGCCGCTTCCACCCCCGCTGACAGCTTCTGCCCCCGCCGTGGGGCTGACTTCTGCCTCGCCGTTTCGGGCCACCAGGCGATGCTGGGCTGGAGGCTGGGCGGTGGAGGAGGCCGCGGGGCTAGCGCCCCCAGCACGCACGGAGCCCCCGCCCCCTCCAGGGTCCTTGGGGGAGTGGCCCAGGGCCTCGGCCACATTCTTCAGGGCGGCGATGGGCGAGGGCACGCCGGGGGTCTCGGCGGAGTAGGGGCCACCGGGCGCCACCCAGTGACGCTGCTGCTGCTCCTCGGTGGTCATCTTCCCCGTGGCCTCGCCCTCGGGCTCAGGGGATGCCTTGCGGCGGCGCGGCGTGGGGGCCAGGTTCCGGGACGGGGCCCGCGGGGGTGGGCCGCACAGAGCCGCCGGGGTGGGCTCCGGGTACTGCTGCGGCAGGGCCTCGGCCGGGGCCGGCTCGCGGAAGCTGCGGACGCCGTCGGTGAGCAGCTCGCCCAGCTGGCGCCACTCCCCGGAGCCGTGCCTGCGTTCATACTCGAGGTACTTGAAGCCCGAGGAGGCCAGCGCCTTGCCCGGCTCCCGCAGGGCATCGTGAAACATCTGGCGGGCCACAGCCAGGACGCCGGCGTACACGTTGCCAGAGCCGCAGGGGTATTCGGTGAAGAGCTTCAGCTCGAACTCGTAGCCCGGCGGGCGCGCAGTGGCGTCGAAGGCGAACACCCGCCCCACCAGCCCGTGATCCTTCTTGAAGCGGACGTTGAAGGGGCGCAGGCGGACAGCGCCAGCAGCTGCTCCCGCACCGCCTTGGGGCGCCCGTGCCACTCCTCCGCCCGGCCCCGCATGGCCTCGTTCAGTTCTGCCAGACAGTCCGCGTTCCTCTGCTGCTTCTCCTTCTCGAAATCCGAGCCGAAGACCGGACGGGCAGGACTCAAGCCGGGCGCCAGCGTCAGGCCTCGGCTCCCCAGGCCAGACACCGCAGCTGCCAGCAGCCCGGGGGGCACCAGGCCGGGCATGGAGCCCAGCAGGGCCCTCCGCGCGCCCTCCGCCACGACGTCCTCGCGGCCCAGCCCATTGGCCAGGCGGGACCCCAGCGTGTACTCCAGGGCGGGCGACGGCAGCGGCAGGCGGCCGGGCGCCGCGGCCCTGTCGTAGCGGTCCTGGCCCGAGACGCCGCCGCCCGTCCCCGACGGCTGGGCCTGCGCCGGCGGCGGCGGCAGCTGCGAGCCCTGCGCGGCCGAGGCGGCCAGGTCCTTGGGCGCGGGGTGCTTGAGCGCGGGGGGCCCGGGCGAGCGCCCCTCGGGCAGCACGTGGCTGCGCTTGAGCTGGCGCGCCGCGTCGATGAGCAGCTCGATGCGATCCGCGCCCTCGAAATTCACGCAGCCGCGGCACACGGCCTCGCTGAAGTCCCACACCATGGCCCACGGCATCTTGGGCAGGTCGCACAGGTAGCACCACTGGCGGCGCGACGCCTGCACCGACGCCATCGCCCCGCGCGCCGCGGGCCCCGCGCCCCCCCCGCGCCGCCGCCGCCGCGGGCCGCCCGCGTCCCCGGAACCGCGCGCGCCGCGGCCGGGCCTCCTCCGGCGCGGCCTCCCCGCGGGGCCAGGCCCGGCCCCCTCCCCGCCCCCTGGGCCCGGAGCCTCGTTCCTCACGCCCGCCTCCGCGCGCGGGCGGGCAGAGCGCGTCGGCGCCCCCGCGCGGTCCCGGCTCCCGGCGAGGCGCGCAGCTCCGGCCCCGCGATGGGCCGCGGGCGCCGCCGCCGCCTCGGGCTCCCGCCGCCGCCGCCGCCGCCGCTGCAACGGCCGCCGCCGCCTCCACCTCCTTCTGCCCCAGAGGCCGCTTCGCAGGGAAAGTTACATAACGCGCGGGCAAAGCCTTCTGGGAAATGTAGTCCCGCCGCGGCCGGCTCTTAAAGGGGACGGCGCGCGGCGGCCCCGGGCGCCGCATCGCCGCGGCTCATGCCCCCGCGGTCCTCGCCGCGCGCGGCCAGCTCGGCCGGCTCCGCGGGGCGCGGGGGCGGGCGCGGGCGGGGCCGGGGCACGGACGGGCAGAACTACCTCCGAGTCAGAAGTGCACGGGCGGGCCGGGCCTCCGGCGTCCAGTTGCGGCGCCGAGTCGCTGTGCAGCCCCGGGCAGGCGTCTCGGCCTCTCTGAGGCGCGCCCCCGCCCCCGGGAGGGAGCCAATGGCCGGCTCGGAAGGCGGCCGCGTCTGGGGCGGGGCGCGGGGGCCCTGATTGGACGGCTTCGGGGTGGGGAGCTGTCAACTGAGTAGCGGTGCGGCTTGTCCACTTGGCACTTCTTCCCCAGAACCTTGGGCACGAGCCTCGACGGGGCGCGGAAGCCAGAGCGAGGAGGACGCAGGCCTCGGGGCCAAGCCCCTGCCTCAGCCGCCCGACGGCTGCAGCTCGGCGGCGGCAGCGCCTCCCGCGTGCTCTGGGGCCCAAAGGGTTACAGCAGCGGGCTCGCGGCCCCCCCCAACTGCACTACACTTCCCGAGATGCTCTTTGGGGCGAACCACCTGACGCACTTCCGCTGTCTGGGAGGTTGGGGGGGCTCCCGGATACGCACTGTCTGTTCTTCCCTCGAAAAAACTTCTAGGGGGTTATTAGCGGTTTCTGCTTTGAGCCCGGGGTGGGGGCATCCTCCCCCTCTACTGCACCCTAATTTGGGGGAAGGCAAGGCGGTCAGGGATGGCGAGCGCGGGAGGGGGGCTGCGGGGAGAGTTCGCAGCCGACCACCTTTCTTCAACCTTGAGTGCTGCCTGTTAGGTCCAGCCGGGCTTTAGGGTCCCCCATGATGAGGGGCTCCCAGGCGTGAGGAACAGTGCGAGGTGGGCTGGGCGGAAGGGGAGGCAGGTTCTGACCCACATCAGCCTCTTCCTCTCTCTAGACGTGGATAAAGCGCAAAAATATTTGAACGACTTGCCAGAGTTCCTTTCATTAGTGGCTTCCAGACTAATCAGAGGCTGCCTTGCTTCCGTCCCCACCCCCAAGCCACTGCAATCATTTAGCTCTGATTGCTACCCAAACTTCAGTCTTGGCTTCACCATCTTACTTCCCACCTGTATTATTCCTTACCATTTTGCAATTGACTCGCTGAAGGACGACTTTGGCCTCATCCTTAGCAGTGTCAACTGCATAAACATGGGTTTTATGGACTAGCCACGTTAAAAAATTTTAAACTACATGTAGGGCCATTAGCAAAGCCATCCATGTGTCACCTGAAATTGCCTGTGCAGGCCTCCCTGGTGGCATAAGGGGTTATGTCTCAGCATTATGAATCTATTGCAGCACGAATTTTGAGTTTGATCTCTGGCCAGGGAGTTGACCCACAAGGCACAGCAGACCTCTCCTGTCTCCCCCACTGCTCCCCTCAGCAGTGTAGTTCAGTGGATCCACCTGTTCTGCTCCCTACTCTGTCTCTGGTGAATCCTCTCAGGCCCTGCACCTCTGGTGTACACCTCAGCTCTGCATGCATAAATAAAATAAATCTTTAAAAATAAAATAAAATGGTTTTTGTGCTATTTAGTAAACATGAGAGTCCAGGTCTGGCCAGAGCTGGCTTCAGGTGGATTGGGTTGGCCCTGACCAGTCCAGAGCAAATCCCCAAACTTCCTAGGAAAAAAATGGGAGACCCTGAGAGTCTGCCTTTAAGTGCCTTCAGGTTAAAATGCAAACATGCATAAAAATGCTCAGCAAGATGCCCAGCCCACACACAGAGCGTGCTAAGTGATTGTTGCTTTTTAAGCCTCTTCCATGGGGCAGGGGTTGGGGGGGGGGTGTTGGGCTGGGGGATGCTGAGGACACCACAGTGGTTTTGAGACTGGCTCGGGCCTTGCCCTGGCTCAGCCTGGTGACAGAAGCTGAGGTTTAATTTAAATTGATGCAAATGATGATTCAACTTTTTTTTTTACAACTGCTAGGGAGAGAGGGGTGTTGGGGTGGCTTTCTCCAGATCCATGGGAACTGCGACCTGATGGAGGAACAGCATCTGGCTGGAGAAGGTAAAGACACCTCAATCTCTCTGCCGGTCTTCCAGATGAGGACGATGAAGGTCCAGCATAGAACCAAGGCAGCTCCCAAGACAGCCCCCTGGCTGAGCTGGGCCCTAGTCCAAGCTGGTGGTTATCTGGTTTGTTACCAGGTACAACAGGTTTGAGAACAAGAGAACCAGCACCTGCAGGGGCAGTGAGAGGGAAATGGGCCATGAACAGATAAAGGCACTTGTTCCTTCAGCAACACTGAAAAAGCAGCACAGGATACTGGGAGGAACTGGGCAGCAGACCCCTCTTAGCCTGGGGAGGGGCCCCAGCATATTCCGGAGGAGGGGACACCTGGGCTGGTACCCCAAGGCTGTAGTAAAAATAAGTTTATTGTCATCTCGTCACCACTGGGGAGCAAGGAGTGGCTGAGCTCTGGAGGTCAGAGACCGCAGGGGAGGCAGAGGGCCCAACCTATAGCCCCCCAGTAAGAACTCCACCCCCGCTCCCTAGGGTATCCTCTATGTCCTCCAACTTCTGATTTGTCCCGCAACCCCAACCCACTCCAAAGTCTGGATGGGGGAGGGGGTGGGAAGGCCCCCGCGGGTCATTCTCTTCAAGTCAAGACCAGGAATTGTGAGGGCAGGGGGATGTGCAGACCCGGGGTTCCCTCCGCAGTCCACAAAGGGCCTTATAAATAACATAAAGTCGATGGCTTTGAAGTCAAGGTTCAGGGAAGCAGCCAGGCAGACAGCGCTGTACTGGAGAAGGGCTGGGGGGGCCCATGAAGAGGCTCCCCGAGAATCAGGCACTAACTAGTACAGGGAATGGGGTGCTTGTGCCCCTGCAGCAGGGAGCCAGGGTGCGGCCGGGCTGGGGAAGGTGCAAGGCCCCCCTCCGTGGGCTAAGCTGGGGGAGGAGGCGCAGGCAGGAGCGCAGACAAGCTCAACCCCAAAGGCAGATTTCATGGGGTTTTCCATCGCCCCCGTCTCTTCCTTGTGGGAAAACCTTTCCTCCTCTTGTGTGGAGGGGAGTCAGGGGAAGGCAGTGGGGCTGGGGGTGCCCGGGGGCCCCCCTCCTCGCTCCTAGGGGCCATGATCACCCCCCTGGCTGCCACCCCGGCCCTGTCCACAACAGTAGCCACCACGGACACGGGCTCTGGGGTGGCCTCCACCTTGGGGGCGGGTGGGGGCGGCACAGCAGGTCTGGGGGATGGGGGCGGGGGTGGGGGCAGAGGCGGGGGCAATGGGTCGACTTGGGTTCCAGGCAGGAGGGGCAGCAGGGCGCTGAGGGCCTCGCTCAGCTTGGCCAGTCCCTGCCGGAGGGTGCCAGCCAGCTCCCGGATGGCGTTGGCCGTCTCCTGCTGGGCCCGAAGGAAGTCCAGGGAGGGCTCTGGGGCCGAGGGCACAGGCTGCGGCAGCGGAGGGGGTGGAGGGCTGGGGGGCGAGGGAGCCGCTTGGACCTGCTGTGGAGGCTGAGGTGGCGGCGGTGGAGGGGCCGGGGGCGGTGGTGACAAGGCCAGGCGGGGCAGCTGGACCGTCTTCTGGAGGGCCGGAGGGGGTGGGGACTCACGCTCCTTGGAGGGCGGGCAGCCCCCTTCCTGGGGCTTGCAGGAGGTTCGGGCCCAGGGCTCTGGGCTGCTGGAGTCCCCCTTGCTGTGGGCTGGGTTATCTGTGGAGACAGAGACATAGTCAGGTGTCTGCGCCCCAGCCATGCCCAGGGCCAGCCCTGACACACCAAAGACCAAGCGCGCTTCACACAGGCCAAGGCCAGGCTCTGCACCGCGGAGGGGGCAAAATCCTAGCGGCCCTCACCAGCCCAGGGGGAACCAGGGTCCCGGAGACCCCAGTGGATCCAGGCAGCCCCCGTCTTATTCTCACTTAAAAGCCAACCTTCTGGAAGGCTCTGAATCATCCTGCTAGTGTCCCCCTGGCCCCATGCTCAGACCCCACTGCTGGATCCTGGGGAGACCCCGGGGGCCTGAAGAGAGGCGGGATGGCCCCCACAGTGGGGGACTTCAAGGGCTAAGGAGGAGCTCTCTCTAACCAGGAGGGCAGGCTTCCCTCTCTGCTCTGCTGGCTCCCTGGCTCCCCCAGCCTGGGATCTCAATCTGCGTGCGGAGGCTCCCAGGTTGCCCAGCCCGGCCTGAAGCTCTCCCTGCAGCCCTGTGTTCAGCGCATCGCTTCATCTTCGGGTCTTACCCCAGACTCACCAGCCCAGAACTGAGCAGCTGGCCCTCCCAGCCCGCTCCCGTGCCCCCCTCCCTGGGCCACCCCCTTCAAGATGGCTGGCAGCTCCACGCTGGTAGCCGCTGCGGCCACAAACTTCCACTCTTCTCTCTCCCAGGACACCCTCCAACACCATCGGCCTCCAAATTAATCCAACATCCTCCTCTGTGCACCTCCACGGCCCCCGCTCTGGTTCCACCACCAGCACCTCCCGCCTGGGCTGTGGCAGGTGCCCTGCCAGCCTGTTCCCCACCTGAGCCTCGGGGGCCCAACTAAATTAGCCCTCAGCTCTGCTACGAGGCGGCAGCTGCGCACAAAGAACCACCTCTCTGCTCCATGTCTATGAAACGTCCCCAGCAGGGCAGTGTCCAGAGACAGAGTAGATCAGCGGTTGCCCGGGGCCGGGCAGAGATGGGGGCGCGAGGGCCATGAAGCCAGGGGGTGTGGGGCTTTCACTGCAGAGCACAGAGATGCTTTAAGGGGGACGGCAGTGATGGCTGCACGACCCCACGATGCCCCGAAAGTCACCGGGTGAGCGCTATGGCAACAACTGCGCTCACAAAGTTGTTGGAGAAAAATTCAAACCAGATATGGCCTTTGTCTACTCAAAATCTTCCAGCGGCTTCTATTTGATTCAGAGACAAGGAAAGTCTCTGAGGGCCCAAGGCGCTGCACGATCTACCCTCCATCACTCCTCAGACCATCTCCTCTCTCTCACATTTCCCTCCTTTCTCTCTTTCTCATCTCTTTCCATGTTTTTCTCTCTCACTAGGTCACTTGGTTCCAGCCACACAGCCTTTTTGTTCATCCTCAAACACACTAGGACTGGTCCTGCCTCAGGGCCTTTGCACTTGCTGCTTCCGCCACCTAAAATGGTTTTTCCGTGGACACCTACCCTGGCTCCACTGCCCTCCTCCGCTCCCCAGGCTCTGCTCAAACTTGGCCTCCCTGGAAAGACCTTCCTTGCCACTGTCGCAAGCAGCCTCCGTCTCTAGCCTCCTCTCTCGTGCCCCTACCTGATTTATTGCCTGTATCTCCACCTGCCTGGGATGGATCTGTGCTCGGTGCCTGCTCCTCCTGAAGGCAGCCCCCTCAGACACTGCTCTTTTTGGAGCGCTGAGAAAAATGTCCAGCACAAAATCGTTTCCTTTCCTGAGAAAAGAACTGTGGCTTCCAGGGAAGGCAGCACTGGTGCTGGAGCAGGAGACTCTTGCTGCTCCCCGACCCCTCCCGAGGGGTGCTTTCTTCCCTCATCCTTGCCTTGAGGGCCCGTGCCCAAGCTGTCCCCTCCACCGGGATCCCTCCACCTGCTATGGCCAGGTCGCAAGTCAGTGTTCCTTCCTCAGAGAAGCCTGCCACCTGCTCCTAAAATCAGATCACCCTGTACTTCTGTCTCAAAACCAGCAGTGCCCTTGAGCCCTGAAAGCAGGGCACCCAGCCTCCCTGGGCTGCAGGAGGCAGGGGAGGCTGGGAGAGCTGCTAACCAGAGCTAACACTCTCCCCTGGTTAAGACACTAGCATGCCTCCCAGAAGCCCGTGAGAGAAAGTTCAAAGTGCTGGCAACCCGTGCTTAACTCTTTTCCTGGTCAGGCCCTGCGTGAGGGGACCAAGCTCTCCTCCTACATTGTCTTACCAGGACTTCGCGGCCCTTCTCTCAGGTAGGTGCTGTCTCTGTTGGCAACAGCCCATTCTACAGATGAGGTGGCTTGAGGCCCAGAGGGTGGCACAGAGCTGGGTGATGGAATAGGAGGAATTTGAACCTGGACAGTCCCAGGGTACAGAGCTTTTTGCACTACCCCTTGACCAGGGGGCTGTGGGCAGGAGGGGAGCCAGTGTCCCTCAGAAGGGGACTAGAAATTGAAGCTGCTTGGAGTCTCTCCAGTGTCATCATCAAGGATACTTCCGGCAGCCCCAGACCCTGTTGCTGGCCTTCAATTACAGCAGTTCCTTTATTACACAGAGGATAATCTCTCTGTGAGATTCTAATCAAGGATGCTTTCAGGATAGCGCTGCCTCAGGGCCTTTGCACCTGCTCTTTTCGCTGGCTAGAGTACTCTTCCCTAGCTATCCATAGCTCCATCTCCCTTTTCAGTTTTCTGCTCAAATTCCACTTCCTCAGAGAAGCCCTCCCTGACAACCCTATCTGTAAATCACTTCCCTCTGAATGTTTTATTTTTCCTTCCCAGTTTTTCTCACCTCCTGGTATATGATTTGTTTGGGGAGTTACTTGTTTTATCGTCTTGTCTCCTAGAACTGGAATGCCGGCTCCATAAGGGGAATTGTCTGTTTTGCGACTGTTTTTCCAGCGCCTGCCACAGTGCGTGCCTTGGCATGGGTGCTCAGTATTTGTTGAGTCAGTGAATGAGGGAAGGAAGGGGTTGTAGAGCTTTTGAAAAAATAAACTGCCATCTCTGCTCTGGTTCAATGGGTCCGTTTCACGGCTACGAACACAGAAGTTTGATTCATATTGAGAACACAAACCCCACAGTGATTGTGTCTCTCTCCTGGTTAAGACACTAGCATGCCTCTCAGATGCCCTCAAGATAAAGTTCAAAGTGCTGACCTTCACTTACAAACCACGCGTGCTCTAATTCTGGCATGACATTAAATCTCAGTCAATAGTAACTGTTACTGCCAGACCATCAATAGCCTGGTAGTTGAGTTAGGTATCTGGGCTGTGTGCTGGACACAACCTGTATTCCAGTCCCACTGTGACCTTGGGTGGGTGAATGAACCTCTCTGATTCCAAGATCCTGAGCTGCCTTAGTTGATCATGTCCATGTCCCTCCCTTTTCTCAAGCCCTCCCCAAGGCACTCCAAGTAAAATTCAAACTCCTTGCCTCAAGCTAAAAGCCTTGCGTGGGCTGATCTTTGCTGACCTCTAGGACCTCATCTCAAAATATTTCCTTACTTCAATTTTTCCACTCTCCTTCCCTCTCACTGCCCCAATGGGCAAACTTTTTTCAGCTTCCTAAATTGGCTAAACTTTCTTTTTCTTTTTTTTTTTTTTAAAGATTTATTTATTTATTTATACAAGCACTGGGTACAGTCAGAAGCGCAGGAGGGTGAGAGAATTCACCAGAGCCAGAGCAGGGAGCACAACAGGCAGACTGACAAAGTTCACTACTGAGGGGACAGCGGGCGGGGATTGAACCGGTGCTGCAGAGGCTGTGGGCAGCTTCGCAGCCCAGCGCTCAACCGCTGTGTCACCAGGGAGGCCCAGCTAAGCTTTCTTGCCTCCAAGTCACTACACTACTATTTCTTCTAGATTTCCCACTTTTTCATCCCTACTCTTTGCATCTACGTGCTGACATTGCCTCCTCCAGGAAGCCCTCCCTGACTTTCCAGGCTTGGTCAGGCGTACCCTCAGGACCCCTACAGCTCAGGTCTACATGCTCTGAATCATCACTGTCTTGCATGTATCTGTGCCCTCCCCCTACTGGACCGGGAGCCCCAGGAGGGCAGGGATGAGGTGATGTCAGTCATCACTGTGTCCCCAACGCTGCCCAGCAACACAGGGCAGGTGCCCTGATAACAGCTGTAGAAGAAATCACCTGGGGTCAAGGCTAAGTGAGAAATCTTGGTACTCAGCTCTCCTACCTCAGGGAAAGTCACCAAACCTCCCTAATGTTTGATTTATAAAATGGTCAAATGTCAGGTACCTCACAGCACCGGTTACCAAATCAAGAAATAAGTGAGTCCAGAATTCAGAAGCTGCCCTCCTAAGCACTGCGTGCATATCAACTCACTCAATCTTCACAACTCCTGCGGTGAGGACTATTTTCTCTCTCCATTCCACAGAGGCAGCACCTGAACTGCAGTCCCGGACTCAAAATGACACCGCTGAGCGGCAGCGCTGAGCCTGGCGCCCAGACAGCCCGCCTCCAGCGTCCCTGGGATCCCACCCGGGCCTCAGAGATCTGGGTTCCATTTCTGCCTCTGACAGTCACGAGCGGTGCGCGGGCTGCAAGCCATTCCACTTTCCTGACCCTCACTTTCCCCAGGTGTCAACGTGGAAGACAGCGGCCGCCACGGGAGGCCTGGAGTAGGCGCAATGAGGGCTTGGAACGGCGCCAGCCCGCCGGGCACACAGCGCTCGGTGATGGTTCGCGCTTGCTCCGGTGCCGGGAAAGGGACTCACCTGCCCGTCGGTCCTCCCTGCGGTCTTCCAGCAACACATAGCGCTGAGCGCAGGCACTCGGGGCCGGCGGCTGCGAGGAAGCGGCCGCGGGGGGCTGTTCGGCCCCTGCACCGGCTCCCGGCCCCGCCACACCCGGCCCCAGGATGGCAAAGATGGTCTCCTCCTCCGCGGAGAAGGCGTCCTCGGCTGCAGGCCCCGCGCCCTGCGTGGAGTGCGGCACGCGGGCCAGCTTCTCCTTGGTGCGGCGCTTGAAGTCGTTCCACCGCTTCTGCACCTCCTGGCCGGTGCGTTTCCAGCTGGTGATGCCGTTGATCTTGGCGGCGATGCCGTCCCACACGCGCCGCCGCTCGGCCACGCTCACCCGACGGCTCTGCGCGCCGTACAGCTGCGGGTAGTGGGCGCGGACCTCACGGATCAGGATCTGGTTCTCCTCGAACGAGAAGCGCGGCTTGCGCAGCCGGGTGGTCTCTTCCGCCTCGCCCGCCGCCGCCGAGGCCATGGCGCCCCCCGACGCCGCCGTCCGGCCGCCTGGCGCATGGGGGGCGCCGGCGCTGCGGGCACAGGGCGCACGGCGCTGGCGGGGATCCGGCGTCCCCGCGCCGCCCGCCCGCCCCCCCCCCCCGCCGCCCCGACACCGGCTAGGTCCCCCCGGCCCGGGGTGGGGCGAAGGGCGGACGGGGGCGCCGCGCCGCCGGGGGGCCGCGAGCGCCTATTAATAGCTGACCCCGCCGGGCGCTCGTCTGGGGCGTCGCGCGGCGCAAAGTGCCTCGCCTAGGAGTTGCTGGAAATCGGGGGAGGGTCTCGAGAGGTGGGGGGATGAGGAAGAGCGGAACAAGAGGGGGTGTCCGCAGGAGTTAAAGCAGAATGGGGGCATGGGAACGCGAAATGGGAGCATGGGGGTGTCTCGGAGGTCGCGGGGAAGGGGAGGCGAGGCGAGGGGACGCTGAAGGGGCTGCAGCAGGGAGTCCGGAGCACAGGCGCGCGCCGGGGGTGCCGCGGCAACGGGACGCCGCTGAGGCCGATGTTTCTGGGGGTCCCCAGAGGGGATTCCGGGAATAATGGTGAGTTGGGGGTTCCGAGGACGGCGGAGGCGCCGGGACTATGAAATACTAGGGGATCGGGGTCTGCGGGGATTGGGGGAGTTCTGGGAATTGCCAGGAATTAAGGGGGGCTTCAGGGGTAGTGGGGATCCTGCACGAGGAGGGGACAACGGAGGTTACGGGGGACTCTGGGAAGAGTGAGGGGAGCCGAGGGGGGCACCGAGTCGGGCCGCGAGTCACTCACCGGCGCAGCCGCAGCCCCCGCCTGCCCGTCGGTCAAGGCTCGGGCTTCTGCGGCCTCTTCCCTCCGCCCCCCGCCTCGCTCCCTCCCGACCCGGGGCCCCGCCCCCGACCGCTCAGCGACCAAGGCGCAGGCGCACCTGCTCCCCGCCGGCCCCCAACGCCCGGACCGCCGGGCTTTCACGCCCCTCCCACGGCGCAAGCGCAGAAGCGCCCTCTGCTGGCCTCCAGGAGCGGGCCCCAGGTGCGCAGGCGCAAAGCTAGCTCTGCGCTCGCGCCCCCCGCCTTTTCATGCCGCGACGGCGCACGCGCGAAACTCGGCCCCACGCTTGCGTGCTCCCAGCGCCCGGCTCGCGGGGGTACCCGCGCCTCCGGCCCGGCGCGGGCGTAGCGGTCCTTGGCGGAGGCGGGAGAGACGCTCGAGAGCTGGAACCGAGCGGCGTTCCCCCTTTCGGACTGCCTGCCAGTCTGCCCAGCCCCCTAACTATCCACGTGTCTTTCTTCGGGAGCTACGGGAGGGAGGAGGCTCTGGAGGGAAGCGCTTCGTTTCCTTGACAACGGCGTGGGAGGGGTGTGGGGGACGTGAGAAAGCGGGTTGCCACCCCCTCAGACCCGCCCCAGTGCGGGGTGGCTCCGGATCTGCGAACCCTGCAGGGGCGGGGCACCCCGGGGATACTCCGCCCCGGGCGGGGTGCGGTTACCACGACAACGCATCCACCTTCCAACCTTCCAGCCTTGGCCGTCCCTCCAGCACGCACAGCTTTACGTCATGGCGCAGGGAGAGGGAGTTTCTCGGTGGGTGAGGAGGGTGATCCTGACGCCAGTGAGACTTGAAGCAAATGTGCGGAGGCAGGTATGAATGGAGACTGCACTGGGTGAGCCGAAGGCAGGGTGATTGGGTGAAGCTGGGCCGAGACATTGTGGGTCAGCATCCCGCAGCATCGTCAAGGTCACTAACAAAGGTGCTTCATTCGTCTATTCAACAACTATTATTTTAGTATATGTGCTGCCGAAGCGAGCACTATTCAACAACTATTGACCGCCTGCATGGTCTCAGATGCAGAGAACAGGAAAGACAAAAATCTATGCCCTCATGAGCTCACCTTGGGAGAATCAGACGACTAATAAAAAAGACATTAAGTGAAGAAGTGATGTATATGATGAAGAAAACGGAAGTAGGAGCAGGGTTGGGGAAGATGGCTGTTGTGCATGTGCCTGTAGTTTTAAAATAAGGTGGCTTTGGGAGGCTCCCTGGAAAGGGAAGACTTGGGTGCGGACCAGGAGGTGAGGGAGGAAGTACAGCCAGAGCTGGGTCTTGCCTGCTTTATTCTAGGAACAGGGAGAGAAGGGTGGGCTGGGGTGGAGGGAGCCACATCCAGAGTAAGGACTTTGGCTTTCACATGAGGTGACAGCCATGGGGGGTCCTGAGCAGAGGAAGGTTTGTTTGGACTCTGGTATTTAATATAATTCCTTTAGGGGCCTCCCTGGTGGCCTAGGGTTAAGTTCCAGTGCTGTCACCACTGAGTTAGATCCCTGGCCAGGGAGCTGACGCACATGGCGTGGCAGACATCTCCTGTCTCCCTGCTGCTCCCCTCAGCAGTGGATTTCAGTCAATCTGCCTGTACTGCTCCCCTGTCTCTGGTGAATCCTCTCACCACCACCCTCCCCACACCTCTAGACTACACCCCAATTCTTCTACACAAAAATGAAAATAAAATTTAAAAAAAGAATTCCTTTGGGAACTGATTTGAAGGAGCAAGTTTGGAAGCCGGGTGCCCAGTGAGGTGGGGCCACCAATGGCTGAGGTGGGGGGTGGGGTGGGGGGGTAGCTCTCAGAGGTCAAGGTCTGGGGGTGGGAGTCAAGAAGCCTTTCTAGGGCATTATTTTTGCAACTGTGTGTCTTGACCCACTGGTAGGTGCCCCAAATAATTATTGCAACTAGGAGTCAATAGACAAACCAAATAGAACAGAGTAGCATTCAACAGTGGAACCAAATAGAGCAGAAGCAGCATGTGCTGAGATAGGGGCTCACCTGCAGGAATTTTGGTTTCAGTTCTGGAAGCTCAGAGATGATGGAGACACACCTCAAGGGTAGTAGGAATTGCTTGGCCCAGGAGCCAGCTTGCCTGGGTCCAGCTGCCCCCTTCCTGGGTGGCAACCTATGTGCCTATTCTGAGCCCGGGAACTGTGCTCTGACCTGAGTGCTCTCCATCTGTGTGGCTCTCCCTGGGTTCTGGGTTCCTGGAGGGGGACAAAAAAAGGAGATGAAGGAGGCTCTGGAGTGTGAGCAGCCCTTCAGCATCTGGCCTCAAAGCACCCACGCCTGCAGGGCCCCATCACCTCCCCTCGAGCTCTCTGTCCCTAGTCTTCTCTGGAGCCACATGCAGGCTGGGACGCAGCTCTGCTCTCAGCCCACAGCTGAGACCGCAGCTGCATCCCTCCCATCCCCATCTCTGACGTCACGTCACTGTCTTCCCTCTCTGTGCCTCTCTGCTCTCTCTTTGCGATCATTTGCTATTGAGGTAACATTGGTTTCTAGCATTTTCTCAGTGCCAGGTGTGCGGCATTACAACTTTTTTAAAAAAGATTTTTTTTTTTTTGTATTTATGCATATAGAACTGGGGGATGGGTCAGAGGTGCAGGAGGTGAGAGGATTCACCAGAGACAGAGCAGGGAGCAGAGCAGCACCCAACTCCTAGGCCCCCATGAGATGTGCTTTCTCTAGTGGGTTATGACTCACAGGAGGGGAACCCCTCCTTCCAGAGCCGGCATGAGCACAAGGCAGACGAGACAGGGAGTGGGGCCCTATAGGAGGGGGGTGCCCATCTGGCTGAAACAGGGAGAACAGCAGACAGCACAGCACCCACCTTTTGGAAAAGGACCTAGGCGCAGAAGTCCTGAGGGTGTTTGCTTCTCTGTACTCTCGGCAGTCAGGCGTGGATTTCAGAGACTAAGAAAGCACCACACAGGTCAAGTTCTCACGGAGGTCTGCAGGATTCAGATTCCAAGTCTCTGGCCCCCTTGGGTGTGGGAGGTGAGAGGATTCACCAGAGACAGAGTAGGGAGCAGAACAGGCGAATTGGCTGAAGTACACTGCTGAGGGGAGCAGCGGGTAGAGGTGATATCACTGAGACTTAACCCCCACGCCACCAGGGAGGCCCTGATCTTACCTGTCACTTAGCTGGCTGGCTGCCTGCTCCTTCCCACGGCTGCCAGGGGTCAGTTCCGCCTCAGGGCCTGGGAAGGCTGTGTCTGCCACCTGAATACCTTCCCCTCCCCCACACCCTCAGTTCCCTCAATTCTTTGGACTCTGCTCCTGCCAGAATTATCAGCTCCATGAGGGCAGGGGGTCTCCTCTGCTTTGCTCAGGCCAGCGCCTGACCAAGGTAGTGCTCGCTGTTCATGGAATAGAGCAAAAGCAGCCCTGATATTACAGGCAACATTTCACATACAAATGTGTCTCCCTGGGGCAGAGGCCTTCCTTTTCATGACCTCTCCAGCAGGCTCTGGGAGTCCAAGATTAAGAACTCCCACAAAGTTGCTGTTCGGCTGGGATGGGCCCCTTGGACAAAGCTAGAGGAAGGGCCAGAAAGGGAATCTGGGGTCAAGGTAGAGGCTGGAGAGACTTGGGGAACCAGATCACCGTGACCCATGTGGGAGGATGTCTGGAGGAGGCCCAGGGCCCCTCTGCTGTGCTTCCTGTTCCCCATGGTGTGGGTGGCATGTGCCAGGCCCCTGGCCAGTCTGCCACCCACCCCCAGCCTCCTGGGCGGGGCCAGGTGAGAAGACAAACATTCTGGGTGATTGCAAAGATAACCAGAAACTCTTTATTCAGCAGCCCCCAGTTCCCTGGGGCCCCTGAACCCTGAGCCCAAACCCAAACAACTTAAAATCCGACTGGGGCCACTTCTTTGCCCCTAAAATAAAATCTAGGCAGGTGCCATTTCCATCCAGGCACTAAGGCCCCTTTCCGTGCTGAGCTTCCTTCACTTAACAGCTGGAGGATGAAAAAATAAAGGAGGAAAAAAACCAACCTGGAGCAAACGTTCGTGATTTGGGGGCGGTGGGTGGGAGGTGGCCCGCTGGAGCCCTCTCAGAGGGGGGAAGCATCCTCAGTGATGTGGGTGCTTTGCGGGTGGGGGTGTGAAGGGGCGCGGGCAGCGGGAATGAACAAGGGGAAAAACAAGCGGAGAGAGATGAAGGGTGTCCGCTCAACCCAAGTCTGCACCCTGAGATAGGCCTGCTTGCGAAGACCGGGGTGCCCTTGCCGTGCGCCCCTCCCTCCGCCAATTCCTGGCGGACCGATGCGGGAGCTGGGAGGATCCGGCTGTCCAAGATGCTACGGCGGGTCTGCGGGCAGAGGAGCCGGACCGGGTCTGCAGCCCGTCTGGACGTCCTTGTGCCGGATGCGCCGAGTTGGCCGTGTTCCCTGTCGCCAGGTCCTCAGCGTGGGCCTGGGAGAGCCCAGTGGGGTGTGTAGGTCCAAGGAGTCTTGGATTCCACAAGGAATGGACACCCCCCCCCCACCAAGGGGGCTGGGGAGTCAAAGGGGCAGGACTGGTGTCACCAGCGGGCCCAGAAGGTCTAGGGATCCCAGGGCTGGGCAGCCCCAGAGGGTGGAGGTCCGGCTGCAGCAAGAATCCAGGCACCCCCAGGACAGAGCCCCGGGGTCAAAGTCCGAGAGGCAGGGTGGTCTGGCTCCCCAGCAGCGTCCATTGTCAGGATCCAGCCTCCATGGAGCTCTGGCTGCTGGGTGAGTTGGGGGGAGAGTCCAGGAACTTGGTAGGGACTGAAGCAGGAGGGTTTGGGGCGGGGTATGGGGGTGGCAGCCCCAGGCCTCAGCGCTTGACCTTGCGGCCAGCTGAATTTCGCCCGCTGCGGCGGTAGAGGGACTGCTGGCCACCGTTGAGCGGGCAGTACTTGAGCGTGTGGGCCTGGCCGCCCGTGGCCCCGCACAGGGGACACACGTAGTGCCGCAGGATGGGACACGTCACCACGCCCTCCGGGGTCTTCAGCCGGTGCGAGGAGTAGACGTGACGGGACTCCCCGTTGTGCTTGCAGAAATTGCACAGGGTGCCCAGGGTCCCGCTGGCTCCCCGCTCTGCTGGCCCTGATTCCTGCCCCGGTGGGGGCCCAGGGTTGGGCCCCCCCATCTCCGGGGCCTCCAGCCTTTGCCCCCAGCTCCGGCTCAGTGCCAGCACCACCTGGTTCAGGTTGAAGTAGTCCTTCCACATGTCGAAGGGCAGAAGCTGCATGGCACCCAGGGGTGGGCGGTGGGTAGCTACTGAGAAGCCAGAGCCGGGGGCCGGTGGATGGGAGCAGCAGGTTGTTTTCTGGAGCAGAGAGGAACTGTACCCCCCCCCCCTTTTATACCTCAAAGACCCTCTAAGCAAAGGTGGAGCTTAGGATTTAAAGGGCCCACTCCCTAATGGTGACTCCCATTTTTTTTTTTTAAAGATTTATTTATTTATTTATACAAGCACTGGGTACAGTCAGAAGCGCGGGAGGGTGAGAGAATTCACCAGAGCCAGAGCGGGGAGCAGAGCAGGCAGAAGGACCGAAGTACACTGCTGAGGGGAGCAGCGGGCGGCAGGAGAGGTCTGCGCGCCATGTGGGACCCTCGCCCGGCAGCCGGGGATCAAACCGGCGCTGCAGAGGCTGAGGGCAGCTTCGCAACCCAGTGCTCAATCGCCGCGCCACCGGGGAGGCCCGACTCCCATTTGACTGTAATGCCGTATGGGGATCTGGAAGGAGGTCAGCCCCTGGGCACCTGCTCTGCCCAAGGTGCTCCATGACCTCCACAAAAGGCCTGTCCCCCTCCCTGAGCCTCAGTGTCCCTGTCTGTTCAGTAAGTTTCCATGTCTACAAGTGCCCCCCACCCCCACCCTCCCTTACTCTAAGGCTGGGGGCCTGCTCCCTCCAGATCCCACAGGGCCCTTCCTAGTGATATCAGAGGGGGAAACTCATTGGCCCAGAGTCACATATCACGCAAGTGGGAGAGCCAGGATTCTAAGCCAGGTTTGCAGGACTCCCAAATTAATGCTTCCTCTCTCTCTTCTGAATAAAGACCCAGTTTTTCATCATGTCCTGAACTAAGAGCCATTTATCCAGCACATCGTTATTCCATACAGGCTACCGCATTCAATGCTACATAAAACATGATCTCTGGAGGGGATGGGCACAGTCATTTCCATTTTATAGAGAAGTATTCGAGGCCCAGAGAGGTTGAGGTATATACTCAAGGTCACACAGCAGGGCAATGGCACTCTTGAATTTACACCCAGGTCTGGCGCCAGTAACTTAGGAGCAAGCTTGGCACAGTTTCACTTAGGATGCCCGTACCCTGGCCCTGGGCATCCTCCCAAACCATTCCTCAGCTCCAAGACCAAGCGAACACCTGGCTTCCTGCCCACACCACCTCCAGGAAGTCTTCCTCTGCTATTGTTCCATTGTTTTCTTGAACATTCAACGCACAGCCATCGAGACCCCTTGTGTTGGGCCCTGGAAACTCAACAAGGACCTTGACTTCTTTGTGTCTGTTTGGTGAGTAACTGACCCAAAGGGAAATGATGAGCAAATGAAAACACCATGAACTCTCAAGAACTGATTACCTTGGGCCTCCCTGGTGGCACAGGCAGTTGAGCACAGCGTCGTGAAGCTGTTCACAGCCTCTGCAGTGCCAGTTTGATCCCCACTGGCCTCGGAGCAACTCTCGGAGCAACATGGCGAGCAGATGTCTCCTGTCTTGCCCGCTACTCCCCTCAGCAGCGTATTTCGTCAGCCTGCCTGTTCTGTTCCCCGCTCTGTCTCTGGTGAATCCTTTCACCCTCTCGCACATCTGGCCTGTACCCCGGTTCTTGTATAAATAAAATAAATCTTAAAAAAAAAACCAACCGATTACCTACAGACAGGGACACATTGAGAGAGGCTGGGCTGGGGGAGGTGACCTGGAAGCTGAGCCCGCAAATTAGAACCTTCCAGGAAGAGGAAGACCAGATACTAAAGCCTTAAAGTCTGGGGACCACAGGGAGCTTGGGGTGGTGAGAACAGAGGGAGGGTCCCAAGATGAGCTGGGTGGTAGGGCGAGAATCCCATCAGACGGTGGCTCTCTCCCCCTTGGGATGTTTTGGAAATGGAGTGGGCCTTTGGGGTTTGCTGCAGTGATTGGTGGTGAGACTGGACTAGAGTCTAGGACCGGGGATGCCAGCTGTCTCAACAGTTCCTACCACCAGGTTCTGGCCTGCCCCCTACTTAACATTCTAGTGCCCCACTGGCCATCGTGCACGTAGAAAAACCCATCCTGTGGACCTGAGCCTAGATCCTTGCTGGGTTTTACATCTAAATGGGAAGCGCTTCTCCCATATGTATAGCTGCACTGACTTTTCCTGGAATGCAATGCTGTGTCCATCACAGTCTGCCTGTCCTCGGTTATGCTGGGAACTTTCCCCAAGCTGCTGACTCTTTCTAGAAGGCACCTCACCCCAGGCAGTGCTGACCACGGCAACCATCCAGTCAACGCTCCGTTGGGGAGTGTGGTGTAGACGCTAGTATCTGCCCAGTGAGATATGTTGAGCCGTGTCTGAGATTGTCTACATGGAAGCAGATGATTGTTTTATCATACATACCTGACTTTTTTTTTTCTCCTTCGTTACTCAGTTAAGACATGATATTGATTTTTGAAAATAAAAGCTGTGCGTTAGTGGGCTAGATTTCCCGTGTGTTTCATGTCAGAATACTAGGGCATTTCAAACTGTTATATAAAGTGTGTGTTGGATCTCATGGGATTAAGGACTAGTGATGTAGGCCAAGGTCAGCCCATTGGCCAAATTGTCTCCTCCTCCAGGAAGCCCTCCGGAGCCCCAGGCTGGGTCAGCCAACTCTCCTGGGCGATGCCATCCCAGCCCTGCCTACTCTAGTACTGACTGAGAATTGGTCTGTTTCTTTCCCTCTGGACTATGAGCCCCAAGGGCAGAGCTGTATTAAGGGTGTTCCCACACCCTTTATGGTTCTCCTATCCCTTATCCTTCATCCCTTCCCTGAGCTAAGTATCATTGTTATTCCTGATTTACAAAGGCAGCAACTGTTCAGAGAGGTTCAGTCACTTTCTATGGTCACACAGGCGGCAGGCCTGGGTCCGCTATGTCCAGCATCTTTGCCCTACACTGTTGCCTTAGATAGCCTCAATAAATACTCATCAATGGAATGAACAAATAAGTGAATACATGTAAGAGCTACAAGGGGTCTCCCGGGTCGCCTGGACCAGCTCACCCCACTTTGTTATTTTACAGATGTGGAAGATCAGAAGAATTCACATTTCAGTCTCTCAAAACCCCGGTTCCTGGCCAAGGTCCCAGATTCACATGCACACCAAGCACTTCCTAGAAACCTGTTAGGAAAAGCACAGGTATGTGCATGTGATGGGCTGTGAGGTTCTCTGCCTGTTCACCTCCCCAAGGAGGCAAGGCGGATCTCTGTCGCATGAGGTTGGGGACACTGGGCCAGGCAGCAGGATGACTTGAGCACTCACCCCCCCCCACATTTTAGGAGGTGGACAATACCGTGGCTTGCCATCAGTGCTCAGCCCCAGGTTCAAGCTTTGTTCTGCCACCCACACGCTGAGCAGTCCCGGACTTACTGCTTAGCTTCTCCAAGCCTTGGTTTCCCCACCTGTCAAGTGAGCACGAGGCCAGCACACTTGCCCAAAGCAAGGACTCTGACTGTGGTTGTGCATAGCACAGAACCTGGCGTGGGATGTTTCATTAAATGTTAATTAATAAAAAGAAAAAAGAATAAAAATGTTAAATCATAGTTAAGATACAATGAATTCAATTCCCTTAAGGACACTAACTGAGCATCTCTTGGTCCCTGGCCCAGGTCCCCAGAATCATGAACCTGCCCAGCTCTGACATGCTGACCTCTGCCTGTGCCATCTCGAAATCCACCCCAGCCCCTGTAGGGTCTGTTCATAGCCTCATTTTGCAGATGAGCAGTGGGAGGCTCAGGTCAGGGCGCTTGTCTGCGGCTGTGTGGACAGTGAGTGGTCGGCTGGAGCTCAAACCCGGGCCCCAGGACATCCACCCCCGGTAAGAGCCTGGTCAGCAGAAACCAGGGTTGCGTGGAGGGACTTGCCAGGTGTAGGGACAGAAGGAGGAGGGAAAGTAGGAAGGATGGGGTGTCTGAGCCACAGAGATGAGACTTGTGGACCATGGATGTCACAGGGAAGGAACAAGTTCAGAAGCAGGAGCCAGGACGGACCTGGAGGCCACTGGACCACGTGCTTCCCACAAAAGCCACAGCTGATGCCTTCGGAGGGGAGTGTGACCCCCCTGTGCTGCAAGGCTGCCCTGGGGCTGGTCACTGTGGCTGTGGCATCTGCTGGGGGTCTGAAGCAGCTGAGGAGAGGCAAGGCAACAAGGTGGATCGACTGAAATCCACTGCTGAGGGGAGCAGCGGGAGACAGGAGAGGTCGGCTGTGCCTTGTGGGTAGCTCCCTGGCCAGGATGGAACTCTTGCTGCAGCGGCTGGGGATAGCTCCATAGTGCTCAGACTGAACCCCTTGAGCCAGCAAGGAGGCCACCATATGTTACTTTTTCTTGACTCCTTTTTTTCCTAGTTGTTTTCTTCTCAGACTCTGTTTGGAGAGCAGGGCACCTTTCCTCCACCCCCGCACTCTCACCCTCCTGTTTTATTGGGTGAGTCACTGACCGTTGGGGCTCCTCAGACAAGCCCTCCCCCCCTGTAGGGTGCACTGAGGGAAAGTCAAAGCTGATACTGATGAGAAATTCACCAGGCTGGGTGTTTACCAGACAGTGAAGCCCCAGACTGGCCTCCCACCCTGGCTGGCTGGCTCCACAGAGGCCCTGTTTACTTGTTAGTTTCCCTCTCAGCCTGGGGCCTGGCAGAAAACAGCTCATGGTGGGGGGTTGGGGAGGCAGCCCTCAGAGGAGTGGGGGAGGGGGGATTGTCTGGAAGAGGGAATCCTGGAGTAGAGGAGAGACCCTTAGAGGCAGCAGGGACTTGGGGGGAGGGCACCCATACAGAGACCCCACACAGGGGAGGTGGAGTCCAGGGGGAAGAGAGATGAACCCCCCTTCCCGCCCCCAGGACCAGCAAGGCCAAGGTCCTTTCCTTTCTGTCTGTTGAGTGCTGGTCTACAGGATCTCATTAAACTCCGGGGGCAGCTCTGTCAACAGAATAATGCGAGACTTAGCCTGGCACTTGGAGTGTGGCCCCTGCAGCCAGAGGATTGGTCAGA